TTCTATTAGTGTATGACGTAATTGTTAAGGAACGAAGAGTGTGGTAATTTGCAGAAGACTGATGAATGAGGGATCTATGTGATCGTTCAGAAAAATGCAATATTCCCGTGGTGGGCAGAGACTGTTGAGTAGAGAAAATGTGAAAGAAAGAAGACTGTGAGTAGTAGAGATCGATAAGAGTTGTAAAATTAAGAGGTCATGGAGAATTGTGAGAGGTAGGGACCGATAAGAATTACGAGAAAAAATGACGTAACACAATATCTTTGCATTTTTTGGATTGATTTTGTTTTATTTTTTTTGTCTTTCTCTCTTGGTAACTGTTTTTCTTCCATTTGTCTGTCAGAAAAATACCGCTTCGAGTTGTAGTCAAGGTTCCGATTCCCGATCTCCGGCATCCTATGCTATCGATTTATCTGATTGATTTGTTGCAAGTATTAAATTTGTTGATGACATTTCCAATTATAGAATATTATAGTGTACAGTAATTATAAGTAAATTATACAGTAAAACATAATATGAAGTGTGCACCAATATTTTCATACAGTACATACTAAGATGTTGTAAGCACATTATTAAATTGTGGATATATACAATAAAGTGCTACATATTGTTCTATTCAATAAAATAGACGAAGGCTTTCACTGTTTATACATTCTTTTATACAAGCATGTGGTATCTATCGTACAGTATGCAGTAATATCCTATATTATGCTGTAGATAGCACTGTACGGTAGTATGCATTTCTGTAGAAAGTAATAAATCTATTCAATGACGAAAATTAAATGCTACATTTTCCGAAAATGTATTAATTTTTTCCCAAAAGATGGATTTTTTTTTCTTCAGTGCGTATTTTAGACAACTACAAAATAAATTTTGTCATAGGAAGTGGTGAGGTCAGATTGAGTGAGCTTGTGTAATTATCAGTGTATTATCATGGAGTCACCATCTTGGATGTTCAGCAAAGCGTTATCACATCGTCAGAAAGTATGTCGATTGTTTAAACGAGCGATGCGTGAAGTAGATGGTTATTACGGTATGGATATGTAAGTTCTTCATTTCTTAAAATTAAATATGTTGGAAGGGTCAAAGTTCACGTCTCACTTATCTCATTCAACTTTTCCTATTATCATTGCTTCTTTCCCAAGTACACTGTTAGAGTTCCGGCAGGAGGTTGATATGTTGGCATAATTTTTGTCTTGAAAGACATTCATGTAAATTGAAATTAGTTGGTGGTAATGGAGTTGGGCAAGGTCATCAGTTTAAGTAATTTCATGTAAATTCCCTGGGACCAGTGAGTGGGTCCCACCATGTCTATAAAATAACCATTTTTCTGTCTGAAATATCCGAGCTTTGAACCTGTTAGCGCTCATTTTGAGGAACAATTGATTTTTGTTGGAAGTATGTTTTTCTGCAGTTAATCTTCGTTTGAAATTATTGTTATCTTTAAAAACTCACCATTATCTGGAAGAGCACTTTCTTTTTAGAGAAAAATTATTTTTAAATTCTTCAAGGAAAGAAAGTTAGTAACAAGATTGGATTATTTCACATTAAGTTTTATTTCACATTAAGTTTTATTCACATTAAGTTTATTTCACATTAAGTTTCTTCTTTCCCAAAAAAATGAATCACATTTTATTTATTTTTTTCAAATAACTTTATGAACTTTCAGTCTGGAAGCTCGTTTCCAGAAGGTAATAATGCGGGCTCGTTTCGATGCCTATAGAGAAGAAAGAGATCCTGACAAAGCTCGACTACTATATTTAGATGGCTGTCGTCAAGTATGGGACGGAAACATTGGACTACTTTCCGCTGTAAGTTTTTCTTCTTTTGCAGTATATTTTCCCCTTAAATTTATGTTTCAAGTGGCTGAAAAAAGTAAATGGCAGAATTTTTGTCGATTTCTTGGTAATATTTTTACATAAATATCAACATGAACCAGTCTTTGCAACCTTTTTCATGTCATATCAATTCAACCAAACCGATTAAGCTGTCGATGGTCTTAAGTAGCAAGAGTAGATCGAAGTATAAAATCACTTTTACTAAAAGAGATGATAGCATGTTAGTTAATCACTATACTTTCCAACTACATTGGAGTTTAAATTATATGGCTAGTTGCATTACCTGTCATTTCTGTTACTGGCGGTGACGATTACCAATCAATTTCATCAATCTACTAACTGAGCGATCGGTGATTTAAAATTATAAGGGCAATACAACAAATCAGTAAGTTGCCGCAAATTATTGCGAATTTTTCGGCATTATAGTAATTGTGGAATTCATTTTCATGAATACATACAAAGAGTAATACTCAAATAATTGAAAAATGTGCTTTTCATTTTATAGTTGGCTCAGACGTCGGTGGTGCAGCATACAATCGTGATACGCATAATATGCCCGATGCAGTAAGTTTCAAACTTTCAAATTTAAATCGACTTGATACCCTGTAGTCTTTTATTCACCAAGATGGTCCAATCATTCCTCTAAACAGAGTTAGATATCAATGTAATCGCTTACTAAATTTAGCTGTGCCCTAGGAAACTTACTGTATGGCCGTTAGAGCATTTGAAGTTTAATCCATCGGTTTGCTTGAAATTTTTGGGAATGTATACTTGAATGTGTCCACTCAGATCTTGTTGCAAAGTTTCAAGTAAATTTCTTTTCAAAAGGATGGAATTTACGCGATTACTTTTCTTGTACTTATTTTTTGCTAACAATAACTGTCCAGTTTTTGCCCATATCAGGTTGATAACTGCCTAGTAGTACGATTTTTTCCTTAAATTACGTTCCTTTGATATATTAGATAATGCAACAAACATATAGCACTTTCCTATGCATTTTACAGATGCTCGATAGTACAACGTGGACAAATGTTGAACGTGAACAATTTCCTTACTACTTCAATCGACGTGAGCAAAGAAAGAAAGAACTACTTGCACATTGGTCTAAGATTGAGAAAGAATGGGATGATGAATTGGCTAAAATCCAAACCGAACTACCGAAAGAGAAAGAAGCTGAGCAGAAATAAAAAATTGCATTTATTGCCATTACAAGTAGTAGTTAGTTTTTTTTTCGGTTTATTTTTAGGCTCTTTTGTGTATTATTATTATGTAATGTGCATAAAATGACTCATAATTTCTTGTCATATTTTTATTTAGCGTAAAGTCGTTAGCGGATTCTTACATCGTCTTTTTTTTCTTCCCAATTTCTATAGATTTACTAAAATCCAATATAACATGAAAGAGGAAAGATAATCAAGCTAAAAAAGAAATAATCAGGCATTGCAACAATGTTGGATAGAGACTTTGTCATGATTCAGAACTTTTCATAGGATTTTTTGTTCATTGATTTTTCTTCTGCTATTGGGAAACTGTTTATGCGTGAGATAGAAGTGACAAAAAAAATGGATAAGAATAGTGTACGTATAGGGTATTATTTATCGGGCTTATTGACCGCTACTTCTAATGATAACAGCTATCATCTGATGCAAGAAGATAATCGTAATGAAAGTGAGGGAAGAATAAGGAACTGTATTATGTGGTTCCATTTGAGTTCCTGTTAATTAGGATGGTACGCTGACAATGATTGAGGTGCTTTTGCAGGATTTTGAAACGAAATTCCAATAGTTTATAACTAAGGACAGAATAGCAAGAGAGTACTGACATATGATGAATATTAAAGGATATAATGATAGCGCAACATTACGTAAGATATAATTAGCATATGATGCTTTAAATGTGGTATAATCTTGGGGATTTGTTGGTCTTCAGATTTTCGATTTATTTTGCAATATTGAATCTTGAGAAAAGTGCACTAGTATAGAATTTGTTTTAAATGTTTTTAGATAATCTAATGCAAGGATTTAATGACTGAATCAAAACCACCAAGACCTGCACCGAAACCGGGACGAGTAACTGTTTATCGAGCCTTGTATGACTACACAGCTCAAAATGTTAGTTATATAGTACTTATTAATATAAGCAAATCAGGAAGTTATCAATAATTTTCCTGTAATTTTCCGGGTTACTCTTCCTTCATAAGATGTGATTTTTATCTTTGCTTGTATTTAACTTTTTTCAGGACAAGGAATTATCTTTCAATGAAGGTGATTTGCTATACGTTTCCGATAGTAGTAATGATTCGCAATGGTGGCCAGCACGTTGCAGGAATCAAACGGGTTTAATCCCAGCAAATTACGGTAGGTTTTGTTTGTGTACTGACAGAAGATACCGGAAGCTGCATTGTTATAACCTTCAACATCACTAATACCTCTTCGTGTAGATGTGCTGATTGGTTTTGGCAGCTTGTATGGTGGGCTTCTTGTTGGAAATCAATGAATAACTGATATCCAGTTGAGACCTTGTAGAAACTACATCACGCCGTAAGTAACGGCGTAAAAGATAGTCGTTAATCATAAGTTGATTAATCTTGGTAAATAATGATGGACTTTTTTATATGATGAGAATTGTAAAGTGTAATGTTTGTAGTGATGACGGCAGAATATATTGAATGTCCATTGCATGATGCGGCAAAAAGAGGAAATATAGAGGGTGTTAAAGAATGTCTCGACAATGCAGTAAGTCATGCGTGTTTTCGTAAATTTCTTTTTAATGTTGAGAAAATTACGTAACGTCACCATTCAGAGGAAAAGATCAAATCTTCGGTTACCATACCGTCCTGTTCAAGTTTCGTTTTTTCGACGTACTTAGTTATATTTGGTATGTATATAATAAAACTTCCCAAACATATGTTTTTCTATGCGCCGAATTCTATGACAGTTCAGGAAGAATTTCGCTCTCAAATTCGGACAACTGTTAAAGAACTTTTCAAATTCAAGTTTGAAGAAAGGAATGACTCGTTCGTAAGGTAAATGAAAACTGTTACGATTTTATGTTAAAATTATTCAGGAATTATGGGTTTATTTAGGTATCAGTAAACGGTTTAGATAAATCCGGTTCAACGCCATTGTACTGGTCGAGTCATGGTGGTCATGTCGCAATTGTCAAGTTATTATGCTCCATACCCAATATGTGCATTTCAGCACAGGTAAAGTGTTTCAAAATAGAGTATGTGGAAGCATCTTTATTTGTTTTGCCAATGGAAGAGGGCAAACATTTACGGGTCTCAGTTTTTCTTTTGGTTTGCAGAATAAAATTGGCGATACAGCGCTGCATGCGGCCGCATGGAAGGGTCATTTGGAATGTGTGAGAATATTACTGGAACATGGTGCAAGTACTATAATACATAATAATGACCGGAAGCTTCCAGTAGATCTTGCGAGTGATCCGGAAACACGAGCCTTAATTCAATTGTCAATGCGTCAAGCGATAGATACAAATGATTTCCGTAATGAGTATAGTTCAGAATCTGAATCCGAGACTGATGGTATTTAAATATTAATTTTGCGATTGTTCTTCAAACCCAACATTCTTCTGTTTATTGCTGAATTCAAAAACTGTTTTGGGAGGTTTTTTTCTTCTATTTCATACCAGTCAGAAATAAGACATTTGACAAAGGAAATACTATCCTACTCATAGATATAAAAACAACGAATCTTTCTGCCTGCTTCTCGCTGAAAAGTCGAATTTACAGAAAATAATGGGTCAGATCAAATTATTTTCGTAAAGAAAAATTGAGATTCTGCAAAAGATTTTAATTTTTCGAATCTTAATTGGTATTAGTGGTAATGTTGGGGATGCTCTGTTTTTCTTTTTTTTTGTTTTCATTCAAATCCCGAATATATGTAATAATGCCTTACAGTCATCGGGTAATGACCTTCATTACTGCGACACAATCTATCAAGATTATTTGATATATTATGTCACCTAGGATTACCGTTGAATATATCCTAAATGTTTGTGATACCAATATTATTCACATATTTCAATACCCGAATAATCTTTTTACTTTTTTCATTTTTTTTTCTGTTGAATGATATTTCTATCTAATTTCCCCAAAGGTGCATTCCAGTGTTACAATCTATTGTATTTACGCTCACATAACTTGTTGATAACTAATGCATAGGTTAGGTATTCAACTTTCTTTTAATTTATGAAATAACAGAAGTATTTTGTATGATGTGATGCAAGTTTCTTTTCTCTTTTTTGTTTTTTTTGCATTATGAATATAAATATTTTTTTTTACTATCAAAAGGCACTTGCGAACCACCTGATCGGAATTAAAAACTATATCATCTTAAAAGGTTTGTTCTGAATTTTAGTTCCAATAAAAGAAAGAAAAAATTTCTGTAATTGGTGGAAAAAAGTTCATTTTTGGAAGTTCAGGAAAAAAATTATGTGATTGTGTGCAATATATCAAATAATCAGAATATGCATCAAAGTTTAATTTATGTGTGATCAATGTAAAAAAAAGAGGGCAATAGCAAAAAACTCATTTTTAAATGAAATTGTCATTCAACTTATTTGATAATTCATATAATTTAAATGTAATACAACTGATTGTAAATTCTAACACAGAGAGAAAAAAAGAGAAGGCTCTTCCGATATTTCCGTAATAATTTGATGCGGATGATGATTAAATTACATTATTATTTGCAAAATTTAGCAAATATTTAGGTTAGGGAAAGTTTAGGTAGATCTCATTTATTTGTTAGTCCTTCCAATCATCAATTTTTGGGAAGTTCTCACCTTTAACCTTTTTATCGTCCAATAATTGACCTGTCCACTCTTCAATGCGTTTTCCGATAAATCAGTTAGAAACCAATAATCTTCCAAGCTTTGTCATCTTTGAATTTTTGACCTCTTGACCTTTAACACATCTTCTAGCTCCTTCCATTGATTAACCTACATATGTTTCAGTGAATTTTTTTTTTACAAAATCAATAATCGTCGATAATGTCTAACCTTTCACCTGTGCATATTGATTTTCACACGCTCAAATGTCCCAAAGTGCACAAAGTGCAAGGCACTCTTTGTTGTAACTCTGTGCACTTTTCTCTAACATAGCCAATTGGTGAATGCAATGGTTGTGGCAACATTCAATAACGAAGACAACAAACATTTTTGGGGTTGTTTGTGTATAAGGATGCTGGTTTTTGATAATGCTCAATTTCGTCCGAGAGTTCTCAGAATTCCAATTGAGAAATCTCGGAGTCTCCACATTATCTATCCATCCATCATGGAATATATTCCCAACTTAAGTGTGGTTCTCTCATTGTCCTCTCGTTTTTTTTAAAATGTTTTATCCAAAGCATTTATAGGAGATCGATCAAATTTCCTTTCTCTTTATTTTCCGGCATAACTGTAATCGATTGTTACTATTTTACATCATTCTAAAAAAAAGAAAAAATTGTTTCGGTGGATTTACTGAGATTTTTTTGGCAATTTTCTTGATGCGATCCAATCAATATTTGCTATTAATCGAGTATCATATCTCTGCATTGTCATTTTATAGTACTCCAAAGAAATGCTTATTTTTTTCATTTGTTTTTCTTTTTTTAAATTCTTTTTTTTGAATGATTCATTAATATTTTGATTCTTTTTTTGTGATTTTATTCGATCAATTTTGATCTTTGGATTCTTTGAATTTAATGCAATCATCGATTTTTTTTTTATTAAAGTAAGATTCCTTCGGTTTTAAGTAAGACAAAAGAAGGAGACGAAAAGAAGAAAAAATGGGAAAGGAGAAAACACATATCAATATTGTTGTTATTGGTCATGTTGATTCCGGAAAATCAACCACAACCGGTCATCTCATCTATAAATGTGGTGGAATAGATAAACGAACCATTGAGAAATTCGAAAAAGAAGCACAGGTATGGAACATTGGATATTTGTATTATCAAGTATGGGGAATTTAGAAATATTAAATTCCATAAATTAATGTAAATTATCAAATATAACAATTTATTCGACAATGATACATTCAGGAAATCAATTCCATTTACAGAAAGATTTGGAAAGATTTTCAGAGGAGAAAATGAAATCATTGCTAATATTTTATTTTGTTTTTTTATTTCCTTTTTTAGGAAATGGGAAAAGGATCATTTAAATATGCTTGGGTATTGGATAAATTGAAAGCGGAACGTGAGCGTGGTATCACAATTGATATTGCATTATGGAAATTTGAAACACCAAAATATTACATTACAATTATTGATGCTCCGGGTCATCGTGATTTCATTAAGAATATGATTACAGGTAAGTTCAAATGTTAAGTTTGGGAAAGATGACTGAGGAGAGAAGTTGAAGGTTGGGAATGATTAAGATTGAATTGTTCAACATTAACAACGCAATTATCGTTTAGCAAATGCTTGTCTAAACACTTCTATTCTTATTCTTGATAAGTATCCATTTCTGTAGCTAATGAATAGAGCCACAAGCAAGATTCTCATAGTCTAGCTTACTAGCCTAAGATATAGCATAACTGAAAGATAAATAAAGGATAAATGACTTTTGCATATGTTGAAGATTATATGGTGATTATTTGATGAGAATGTTTGTCCTTAGTTAATGTGATAAATTTCAGGTACTTCTCAGGCTGACTGTGCAGTCTTAGTGGTAGCATGTGGTACTGGTGAATTTGAAGCTGGTATTTCAAAAAATGGACAAACACGTGAACATGCTTTATTAGCACAAACATTGGGTGTTAAGCAAATGATTGTTGCATGCAATAAGATGGATTCCACTGAACCACCGTTTTCGGAAGCACGATTTGGTGAAGTTACCACGGAAGTTTCGAATTACATCAAAAAATTGGTTATAATCCTAAATCAATTCCATTTGTACCAATTTCAGGTAGGAATATTAATTTCACGCATTATAATTATGTGAATACAATGCCATAGATCATATACGTATATGCTTTATTTGTGATTTTGCGATATGAAATTAAGCTTGTTACTTGAAATATTCCTGTCTCTTCGACATTTGGACAGATGACATGCATGATCAAGTGCTAATCACGACAAGAAAGTAGCAGTTTAACTAGTATAATCTGATGATGTGACATTAAACAAAACCTGAAATATTCCTATTCATTTTGCAAAATTGTAAAATCATACTGAGGTCACCAACTGGTATGACATGTACGGATGCTCACTGTAAATGTTTCATAAACAACATTTTCCCGGAAGTGTAAAATTGTAAAATCTGTATCAACTCTTTGATTCACAAATCTGCACAGCGTTTGAATAATTACATTATAATATTATTCCGGGTGGTTGTTGTAAGCTAGCGAATGTTTTTTTTTTCTTTTTAGTGATCAGCTTATCATTATTTGTAGGTTTCAATGGTGATAACATGCTTGAGCCATCTGTAAATATGCCATGGTTCAAGGGATGGACTGTGGAGCGTAAAGATGGTACTGTAACTGGTAAAACACTTTTGGAAGCTCTCGATTCTGTTGTTCCACCTCAGCGACCTACCGATAAGCCTCTTCGTTTGCCACTTCAGGATGTGTACAAAATTGGAGGTCTGTGATTAGAATTTTGTTAGTTAATGTTTAAAAAAAAACATTAATGGTAACGGGAAAGTCTTTCTGCTGGATTTTGTGTTACAGTTTTTGAATACTTTATTGAATATACTTTCAGGTATTGGAACGGTACCAGTAGGACGTGTAGAAACGGGTATTCTAAAACCAGGCATGGTTGTAACATTTGCACCGCAAAATTTGACTACTGAAGTGAAATCTGTAGAAATGCATCATGAAGCATTGCAGGAAGCATTACCTGGTGATAACGTAGGTTTCAATGTAAAGAATATCTCAATCAAGGATATCCGACGAGGATCGGTAGCGTCAGATTCCAAGAATGATCCGGCTAAAGAAACTAAAATGTTCACTGCCCAGGTAAGCTGTCCCATGAAAAATAAATGTCATTCAAGGTGATGATTAGTAGAGATAATTAGTTTTACAATTAACTAATTTAGATGACCTTTTTTTCAAAAAAATACTGTTGAAATGAAGCGATGCAACTCGGAAACCCGATTAGGTTCTATGTTGGATACTTGTTGATCTGTGACACTTGTTTGCCTAAAAAACTAGATGTTCTGTCGAATTAAGGTGGCGCATTTCAATTGAGACTGTCACTCTAAATTTGTGCGATTATTTCAGGTCATTATCATGAATCATCCGGGTCAAATTTCTGCTGGATATACTCCTGTGCTTGATTGTCATACCGCCCACATTGCTTGTAAATTTGCAGAACTTAAGGAGAAAGTTGATCGAAGATCTGGTAAAAAAGTGGAGGATAATCCAAAGGTTATACAGTAGCTTCACTATTTTTTCCTCAGCTCGTCCTTAAATTCCCAGAAAAAGGCAGATTACAGCGAACTCTGATAATGTCAGTAGCACAATTAATGGCTAATTAGGATATTTTTACAGAATTCACAAAGGTGGAGGATTTGGAAGGTCCTTATAAACCTTAGATGGAATTAACTGTTGACCTATGATCAGGTTAAATAATCTCACAATTAGCTTAAAGCTACGATTTGTTCAAGCTCAAAATTTTTTTAGTCACTGAAATCTGGTGATGCGGGTATTATCGATCTGATACCAACTAAACCGTTATGTGTCGAAACGTTTACGGAATATCCACCATTGGGACGATTTGCTGTACGTGATATGAGACAAACAGTTGCTGTTGGTGTTATCAAGAATGTGGATAAGACGGAAGGTATTGGTAAAGTTACGAAAGCTGCTCAGAAGGCAGGCGTTGCTGCCAAGAAGAAATAATAATCATTTTTTCCCCAGTTGTGGTTTCTTAGGAAAAGCGTTTCGGTTTTAATCTCAATTTTTTCCAGTTAATAGTCGAGTTCAGTTTGTTATTTCATTAAGTTAAACGACTGTATTCCTTCTTTGTTATGCTTTACATACGTGACATTATTAATATTTCGTATTGCTTATTGCTTTTTTCGCTGTGGTATGTCGTATTCATATTTCTTCTTTCATCTTGCTGTTCTACATATTGCTGAAACAAAAATTTCTACATTTCATGCATTTATCTTACTTTCCTCATAGAAATAACTGGACTTTTACAGGCTGATATTCTTTATTCATTCTTCCTATAATGCGAAAATATATTTGCGAAAGAAAACCGTACCTACATTTGTCAATTAGGAGAAATTTCTGGCTAAAACCATCCAGATTAAAAAGAAGGGAGGATGGAAGTATTCATGAATCAATGTAAGGTACAGTTAAGCATCTATTAGTTCTATGATTACTTTTGCAGTATAGACAATACTGAACACTTCCTGTTTAAATATGCTTCTCAGATAAGAAAACCTCAATGATAACGTCGGGAAGAGATAAGATGTAAGCCATGAAGCAGTGATACGATAATCCGAGTTTTGTGTGATTCGTTATGATGATTAGTTCCAATTTCACCAAGAAGAAAAGAAAAATGAGTGGAATCTACAAAATTTCCCGTCAGGTCAGCATGAGTGAGTGGAGACAACATATCATGGGAACGTTTTATTCAAAGCGCCATTCACGTGAGGAGTAGCAACGTAAGAACGATCAAACTTAGCACTGAACATGAAAACAAAGAATGAAAAAGGCATACAAGGAGAGTGAGTAAGGGATTTTGACTTCTAGTAGTCCAGGGATTTGTGTGATTCTATTCGAATGATGTTCTTAAAACAAAGCAATCAAAGTAGAACAAAGTTCATCAAAAATTTTGCCATCGTCCTCACTCATCACCTTTAAAGTCGATACCCCCTTCCTCCTCTTCTGCAAATTCCATGAAACCTTTCTTGGGCATTTCACTTAACAACACTCTTTCCTGTGGATTATCTTCCCTCCATTTTTCTACTTTCTTCCATATTACAAAGCCGATGATATGCCATCCTATAACGAAGAGAACGAATGAAACTCTTGTATACCTGAAACGAAAAAGAAAAACCAGTAAAATTTACAAAATTCTTGACAAATGAATTGGAAGTTTTATGAAGCAGCTCTGAATCCAATTCAACTTAAGATTCTTCCCAACTTAAATTTCTGCTCATTGTACTTCGTCATAAGCAGAAAATGAAATGCGCTAGAATGACCATCTTGCTTGGATACACCCGCATAATCGGATCTCAATAAATCGAGGCGGTAAAACAACAGTAATGTGGTAAATGAGTTTAGACATGATCTTCGTAACTAAAACCTAATTAACCACAGAATTTATCCCTACCGGAGATTTCTTCAGGATTAAGGAATCCGGAGATTTCTACATATTTTCAGATCCAGAGGTTTCTTCAGGATTGAAGGAAAAAAAAAGCCTCCCAAGCTCAAAAAGCCTTAAGTACTGCACTGATTTATGATTCAACGAAGAAAGACCACAAGAAAAATAATTCAGAATAAATTTTAAGAAGGATGACACCACTACTCAATTATCACCCTTCTTTTTATTCTTATTTATTTTGCGAACAAGAATATGGACTAACCTTTTTGTTAATTGCTGATATGTTGCACGTGATGGTGGCCGCCTATTACGAATATATTGTCGCCATTTCCGTCGCCATTCCCAAACTAACATAATAAAATCTCTATTTGTAGACTTTCTCACGTTTTTGTTTTCTAACTTAATAAACTGGCTTCGGTTGCATTGTAGGCAAAATACCAAAACGTTTTTTAATAATTATCCTGTATTTTGAATTTTTATCTTCAGGTGAAAAACGAGCTGGATGAGCGCTTTGCGTTTGTCGGCCTTGCGGATCTGTGCCCTAAAACAACAGATATTGAAATTATATTTTCCCAAACATACCAGGAAATTCTGACATCTCGTAAATGTAAAACCAAATCATTGTTTTTTTTTCTTGTCTTTTTCCAAATATTATCTTCACACAGACATATGTTAACACTATCAGATGAAAACAGTAAACTTGAGAATTCGAGGCCTATACCTAAATCCAGGATTATAAGAGAGATACCGCCCATATACCATTCATGTTAAGATAATGGATTATCCACCCATTATTTTAATGGCTTCTCCATCCATTACCCACCAACCTGCTTCAAATCTCAGAAACGGTGACCTTCAGAACTGATCTGATTCTCGATCTGCTACGATACAGGGTAGAAAAAAAAGAGGGGAGCATACAAAAAGAAGGTTACGGAAAATCAGCAAAATGAATATTAAGATCTTTTTAATTTCGAGAAATCGTTATTAGCAATGAAATTAATTAACACCACTTCCACTTCTTATCGAACAAAAATAATTGTGGCATATATATATATATATATATATATGATCAGAAATATGGTCACAAGCATGATCAGGTATATTTTTTTAAATTTTCACTGCCAATTTTTCTGGCAAGATTTTTCTAACTCTTTTCTAACAAAATTTTGACAACAATGTTGATGACAATAATCTTGAATCTTTTCCCAGTCTCATCAATCTCGCTAAGTAGTCTGAAGATCAAAAACTGTTTTCATAGGTCCATGTAACAACCAAAACATCTGGTGGATTAAACAATATAACATCCAATCATAAAAATTTAACCATCAATGATCATCATCAAATCATCAATGATCTATTTACTGTTATTACGTCATCAGCACCAAACAGTACTAAACTTACAAAGTTGTCCCAGTCATTCATTACAGCATTTAATGCTGAGCCAACTATTATGCTTAACACTTTAACCACTTTCCAGGTGAAATTTCATGGCACTAACCTTTAAATCATTTTGTTCAACGAAATACCTGAATTTTCCCGTATTCAGTACGCTATCAATGCATGATATGGATAAATTGACTTACTTTAAGAGTATAAATCCTATTTCCTTCCTCGTCCAGATAAAACTTTAGATACATCACACACCAAATATCTGCAAATGAACACAGTGTAACTATAAGTACCACTAAAAAGTTATGCGAGTTAATCAGTAATCGTTACGCTGCCCTCCTACCCTAACCAGATCGGTTCTCGGAGTAATTCCGCACCCACAATCCTAAACGTAACGAAAACGGCCGCTTGATAGACAGGTGGAGCTTCATCTTCGCCTTATGAAAATTATTGATCTCATCGGGATATAAAATCAGCAACAACAATGACACACTACTTATATCTCCAATATCCTCAGATGCCCAACATCCATTTCCTACCATGTCTTATAAACTCTCAGAGTGATCTTCAATAATAAGCCAAGGAAGAAAAAGCGACCATTACTATTCGCATATTTCATATTCGGCTTGGGAGTGCCTCAGATACCATCACCATAATAACTACTAAACTGTACTATTCACTTGGCCGACAATACAAGCATCAAAACGAGGTTACATGATAAATATGTATTGTCTAACTCCCACATCAGCTCGAATCCAGCCAAATAAACTCTCGCTTGGATGACCCTCCTTACCATACCTCCAAAAGAAAAGTTCTAGTTATACTAGAGCTGGCAGTATTTGTTACTAAATCCTAGAAATATACTGCTTCATTCCAAACATTTCTGATGCAGTTGATCACTATGTCAACTAAGTTTTGCCCTTTCTGCTCGATTAATGAATTAAAACCTATCACATAGATCAAAAAGTGTGGCCTCGACCACAAATTACAAATACAACATATTTTTAAATATTAGCATGTAGAATCATATCTTTCTAGTAACCACGAGATTCTTTTTACCACCACATCACCACTGCTCTGTTTGAAACAGTTTTCAAAGAAAAAAAAAGTGTTTTATTGAACAACTTGGCACAATGTACTACAACATATTTTCCATTTACTTCGGTAAAATGTCAGAATAAAGGGAAATCATCTGATGTCAGCTTATGGGTTTAAAATACCGTGTTCCAAAAAATCTGTTTTGAACAAACTAAGTTATATTTAGCATCAAAATAACGTTCAAAGCGTAGGAATTAGATGGGAAGCTCGGACAACAGTGAATAGCCATGAATTCTTAAAAAAAAAAGAAAAAAACTAATCAAAAATACTTCTAATAAATTATTTCTAGTTACTCAGAAATCCAGACTTCTTCTACTCTTATGTTACAGCGCTTTACTATAAAAAATAATAGAGTGTTTCTAGCGTTTACTTCGTACAACCGTCAAGATAAGAAATCTCCGTATACCTAACGAATTACGACGGTGCAAAGTAAGTGTTAGAACACGTCTCAGCGGATGACTGATTTACAAAGCAGCGCAATAATTACGTTAACATAATTTACAAGAATATTTAATAACAACGTAATCAACATGGCAATTTCAAAGAGAAAAGATTTATAAATTAGATTGACGATTAGGAAATAAAGCTGGATATGTATTTGAATATCAAGCGAAAAGTGTTTAAAAATAATACCCGAATGCGGAAAAGTTCAACGACTAATGTGAAATAATGGAACTCCATCATAGTGGCCCTGCGCCAACTGTGTTAAAAACATAATCCCATAAAACAGTCGATATCCCAAAAGCTACAAAAAAAACTTTAAAAAATTTGAAGGTCCTCTAATACTTGTCAAAAAATTCCTTCCCGACAATGTCAAATATGAAAATCGAATGAGATTTCCGCAAAGTTGTTGTGTCTTTCACTGCGTACATGAAATTAGACCAAAGCAATCCGTTTCTCATTGATAATTTCACTTTAATTTAATTTAGTTGTCGAGTTATAGATTTATAGGAAGGAAGCGTATCTTGTAAGAATCATAAAACAACTAGAATAACTAAGGAAAATATACCTAGATCGAAATGCTTGAAATGGTGATTATTATGATAGACTTTCCGAAAGTGTAGATTTGTTCCTGGTAACGGATCGGCATGATGAAAATAGTAATGTGAACAATCGTAAATGATATAACCAAACAGTTTACCAGCTCCAAAACAACAAAATAAGTCGAATGGAAGTAACGAAGTATATAAATAATAAAAAAATGCAACAATTGGAGCTGCTGGCACTGGCGGGAAAACCAAACGATCACCATCCATTGGCGTCTGAAAAGCATTGATAGTGTGGATAGAAATAAATAAGTTCACCTAATCTTAGCAGCACTTATGATTTCATATCTAAATCCAACTTTGAATTTCATGAATCTTCAATGGAAAAATGTTCGGATTCAAAAAACCAAGACAATAAAAAAAAGTACTTTTGCCTTTCAAAGCTTGAAAAAAAAGTTTCATTCAAAAAATTTTTAAAGTAAAATTTTCAAATGTATTTATTGCTAAAATAATATTTGCGAACAACAATAAGTTCGCAAGAAACTGACATAAATTTGCAATAAAAATGCGAAAAATTAGAAGTATTTCAAAGCCAACTTTATGATGCAAACCGTGTAGCAGGAAATGCAAAATAATTTGGAAGCGTGATTCCGGATTAGGCTTCCAGTGGAAAGCAAAACGATGAAGAAGATATTCCAGAAGAGTCCATGCAAGAACACCTAATGTGAAAAGGACTGTCCAAATAATAAGACCGTATAAAAATCCTGCAAATATGCACATGAGACAAAATATGCCAACACATCAAAAAATTTTGGAAATTAAAAGAAATCATTACTTTAAGATACTACATATAACTTAATACTTTGAGTTTTTTGAGATCATATTCTGAGCACTTCTGTGCGTTCAGGATGCAAGCCAGCTATACCACTACGTTAAAATAAAAAGCAGAAAGACATTTCAGCAATTTTGTTTAACGCTACAGACATTTGCTGCCTAATTACACACCAGTGACTTTTTCATAACTAGCAACTTAAACAAACATTCGAAGAAATAATCAAACATTAAAACATTCAAGCAAGCACATTTTAAGATTGATAGTAAAAATCACCATAGCTCTGGAAAATCATCGAAAAAGCGCGTAATGTAAAGATGATCACCAAAGGCAACCACACAAGTGGCACCACCCACCAACTTGTTCTAGTCATATTTTCCAAAATATCTGATTCGAACAACCTTAGTGTCCCATCATATGGTTGATGGATCCATGTCCAATATCGATCACCCAAGTAGCCAACTTTACTTAAAATCGGTTTATCAAATAGCAACTCGTCGTCTCCCTTCAAAAGCAAAAATTATGAATTTGCACCATCAAGTGTCCTATCACACTGGCATCACTTATCAAGAAATGTTTAATCTTTTATCAATAAATGGTGTTCCATTTGGAATGTCTTTCAAAATAAACCAAAATGACCCGAACACTACAAGTGACAGTGAATCAGCGTCTGGGATCTCAACTACCTGGAGTGTTGCGGAAGTGATGGGATGAAGTAAACCGCCACCCACCTTAAGTGATAGTTTTCTCTTATGACATCACTTTCTAAACTCGAAGAATTGAGAGATGTAGAAATTTTCAACATATTGGAATTTGAGTAGTGATTACTTTATTCTAATTTAAAACACTGCATAATAATATGTAGCTGAAAGATCTTGATTTAGCACATTAGATAATTTATTCTTATTTAAGTCTTCGATTATCTTTTTGAATAATATCGCTAATAAACTGCCATTTACAATCAAATGTTACCAACAACTATTCTGTGTCACATATATTACCAAAGCAACCAATGCGCATCCACTTTCTGATTACTTTCAATTACAGCTTGTAATCTGAACATATCAGCAACAACGAAATTCCGATATCAATAGTATGACAAAAGCTGTCTATCATTTATAGAATAAAATTATCAATCATTATACGCCAAAAAATTATTTAATACTAAGAAAAAACACCATATATTATTTGCTGAAATATTTCTCGAGGAATTTGTTACACATAATACACGATGACCACACCAACAAACCTCATAGCAATTGCCGATGGCATACTTTCCTAGCATCCGATATGCAGCTGCTGAATGTACATGTTTAACACCAAGGATACGCTTAGTACCATTCATATAATCATCAACATCTTCACCAGCTAAGTGTTTAAGTACCTGAAACAAAATACTACAAAAACTTATTAGTACACGAAGTAACAATCACAAGCACACTTTATTTTAAAATCAACACTTCCATAATAATATGACTATGTTAATTACT